AATGAAATGATAGGTCTGTACGAGAAGTAATCGCTCGTCTATTGAATTTTATTTGTTGCAACGACATTGTTAGATTCCTTACTTTCTTTTATTTCACAAAACCAAGAAAAAGGAAAAACCTAAACCTTTTACAAAAAAGAAAACAACAAAAAAAGGAAAAAAAGAACTTGTATGAATAAAAAAACAACAACCACGATGACTAACTATATCTGACCATATATATATCTGAATATATGTGTGAGAGAAGAAGGATTATACATCTATGTATATACATAGATGTCGGATCCTGACAGACATGACTTCCTTTTTTGCACTGTCATATTGTTATTCCTTTTTTGTTTTTCTGTCGTAAAAGCTGCGTCATACCTTACATTGGTTATCGTGAGAGTCACTTCTTTTATTTCACTTTGGTTTACAATGACGGAGCAGATTTTTCGTTTGAATTCATCTGTAAGTGATGCTAGTTTTGCTGTGTCTTGTGAAAATGTTTTTTCTAAACTGATTCGTCCGGATCAATCAACAATTGATGGAATTCTCAAATATGATACTTGTGACAAAGCAGATATTGTTTTACCCGATAGACAAAAATTTGTGTGGTATTTTGCCATGGGTAGTATGATGAATCCTATTTCACTTTTTCTTCGTGATATATTGCCGTTAATGTCTTATCCAGCGAAGTGTCTGAATTATAAAATTGTTTTTCGACCATCGATGGGAATGGCTGATATTGAACCTTGCTCGGAAGGGGAAATTCATGGAGTTGTTCATCTTCTCTCTGATGAACAAATGCGTCGTTTAGATGCATTAGAAGCAATCTATCATCGAATTGTTGTTAATTCAATTAATTATCAAGAACAAACTCATCTTGTTTACATTTATAAAATGAATATAGATTATCCATCTACAAGTCTTCCAAGTGAACGTTATTTAGATATAATAGTAAAAGGTTGTGAACATTATAAAGTTCAACCGGCATATATAGATCGATTAAAATATGAACAAGCAGTAATACCACGAAAAAAGCCTCATGCATTCCAGTCGTTTAAAAATATTCCTGAAGATGTATTTTTTTCCGTAGAAGAACTTGCGCGGCATGATGGAAGTGATCCTGCACTACCATTATGGATAAGCGTCAATGAAAAAATTTTAGAATATAGTGGACTACCACCAGTTGATCATCCCGACTATAAACTTCAACAACGATCCTATGCATTTATCAAGTCGAAACTTGGAGGACGTGAAGTAACATATGGTATGGCTAAAAATTTGTATGAACCGTTGTATGCAATACCTACCAATGAAAATGATTTATGTGCAGAACATCGAGCACAAATTGAAGATGATTTTTATTGTAGAATGAATGATGGTCAAAATAAAAATTATTGGAAACCAATAGGACGTCTCCGTGCATCAAACAATTTGTCAAAGACTTGAATTTTTCTATTTTTAATAAAGGACATCCTGGGATAAGATCATAAATCTGCCACCCACATAAACTACACTTTCATTAAGGTAGAAAGATAGAGCAAGGAATTTTGCACAGATCTCTATATTTTTCTATTAATTTTCGTTAAATGCAAAAAAGCATCCGAGGACTAAATAGCCTAGGGGATCTATCATTGTTGAATTTTTGATTACATTTATGAAAGCCGTAAGTTTTTCGTTTGTAAACCTAAGACGAAAACTAATAAGACAGATTGACTTATTTTTGCATGCTCTACAAAATAACGTATTGATTATGCTTATCGATTAGTGTGTGCTGGTCGGGGTATATCTCATAGGGACGCTTCTCATTTTCCATGGACACATTTTGATAATTTTGTAGTGTACTATTGTCTTTGAAAAATCAAATTGTAACTGGAAATTTTTGTGATCAAAAGCTGTGCCGTCTCACGCTCTACAAATCTATGTAGTCTAAAAAAAAATCTATTCTGTCCCAAGGCTCATTTTTACTGAAACAGTATGAGAAACTGACAATTTTCGGGTATTATAATCTTTGATTTTAACTAGGATGTGGGTGTAGGTGTAGTCGAGGAGAACGCAGCTATCATATCCAGACTCACATCCACATCCACATCCACACATTCAAAACCACTCACGTTCACCCTCATGAATATCATTAGAAAAAACTATGATCAAGTAGAATATTGAAAGCTAGATGACGTCGATCGAAACAAACAGTTTAGAGGCTGCTCGGAAGTCATGTGATCAGTTAAATGGTACGAAAAATATTACAAACGATTGATCAACACTACCTGGAAGCTATTTTTAAAAAATAAACCATTTTATTTAAAGAAAAAGATGTCAGCGCAATCCCTGCGGAATTAAAGCGTTAAACACGATCTGTAACAATTATTGACTATTACACTTCACTTCATTTTTGTACGACTGGCATATAAGGATGTGTTTGTAATAATATAGTCACAATTGGAAGAATGAAATGGTTCAATAAACATCATCGTCCAAGCTAGAGATACCATTACTCCTTCAGTTCGTCACATAATGTAGCTACTGTTGCTAATTAAAGGGATATTGTTTTATTCTATCAATTTTGAGTCGTATTTCTTCATTATCTTTTTACTTAATCTTCCAGAAATACAACAAAGAATAACTGTGCCAGAATTAAAGAGTAGCTTATGTAAGTTCAATAACTCAACAAGAGCAATAGCTAACAACCCACTGATATCAGTGATCAATAGAAAAGAATTTGAAACATATTTTTGTCTGATACTATATAAGACAAAGTCATTTAAAAATTCATCATCATCAAAAACCGTTAAAAAAATATGAAAGGAATATTCCGTTTGAAGGAAATTTTGATATTGATATCTGCTTCAGATAAAGATATTTCAGATCTAGAGTTCAAGAGACAATTCAACTGATTAGCTTTCCACGTCTCAATGCTGATGAAACTTCAATCACGTATCTAGTCGAGCAAATTATAGAGAATTCTGATGAGTTT